GCATGATACTTTATTGCTCGTTCATGTGATATGACCGCTGGAGAAGAAGAGAAAAAAAATAACGTATCATGGGCTCAATTAAGGAAGTCAACAGGATTCCTTAATTGTTTGACAGTCAAATTGAATCGATATATTTGTCTTTCAATTAAAATCGAACGGAAAACTAATGACATTTGTGCAATTTCAACCACAATTCATTGCCTCGCAATGAGAGACACTTTTACGAATGAAACAGAGAAGAAGAAAAAAAAACCAATCGAATCGAATCGTTTATTTCTAGTTTTGAAATTGGTCGATCGACATCGGCATTATCATCGATAAATCATTTCTTAAGAAAGAAAAAAACACAGCACTCCATTTAAAAAGCCATTAAAGTAAATAAAAGAACTGGAAACCGATTCGGCGCTGTTTCATCTGCATCATAGATTCAAGTAAATTGGTTGGTGTTTGATTTAAAAATGTGAACGTGCGCGCTCAACGCTCGACATACAAAACTAGAAGCACAACCAATCACAACAATATCACAGTGAGGAGTGAAAAAAAAACACAGATAGTCGACATAATGAATCTAATCCGAACGTATTTATTAAACAAAGATTATGTAGTGTAGTGTGTGCACGGTGATGACGCGACGTCAATGGCAGCAGCCCCAGCAGCATCAGCAGCAGAACCTAAGCTTAACCGATCACACTTCAAATAGAACAAAAATAGCCACAGATTATGAAAATGCTTTTTTTCTCGTTGGCTTTAAAATAACAGACGGAATAAATTTCCAACATTTCGATACAGATTCAACACCGAAGAATAAAAACAACGACCGCATACAACATTATATTATTGAGTGCTTATATTCGACACACCTTAAGATCATTTTAATAATAAAATGTTTGATTATGCTTGTTGATGTGTCGTTCGTTCTCTCCTTTTGTTCGCATTCGTGTTTCGGTGTGCGATTGTGTGCGCGCTCTTCACATTTCATATTAGGTTTTTTTGTTTTGTTCAAATTGGATGCGAATCCATACAATCTCCACCACAATAATCTGCAAAAATGCTATAACTATGAATTAATCGGCAAATAGAATTCCAGATCGAAAATATTGCGCTTTTAAACGAATCGATACAATAAATAAAGATCATCATATCGATTGTCAGAAAATTACCAAACCGACCCTGTAGGCAATTACAATTTACCGTTTACCTACTCGTGTCTCTTTTCCCCGTCCGGAGAGTTCGGAGAAGTTTCGGATTGGGCACACGAATGGGTTAAACAAATAACACATCGCATTCTCTGAAATCGGAAATTATCAATTTAAAAGGTTCGAATTGTTTGCCCGTGTGGCTGTTGTTGTTGGCCGATGCGCAAATTAACCAAGGAACTCTCGCACGAATTGCCATATTTCGGTTCAGTTATGGTTGCATGGCGTTTTAATGATGTTCGCTTTTGGGAGTGTTCACACCAAAATATCTTCTGCACATATGCAAAAAGGAGAACGCATAGGCGACTCACTATAACCGTATTAATAACAATAATCATAACATTAATAAAGATAATGATAAAGCATCCAAAAAATAATCATTTTTGCGATTCACCTCGTTTTACGTTTCTTCTGCTGCTTTTTAATCTTCTTTGACTTATCTCGACAACTTTCCGGTCGTTCTCCTGTGGCACTTTATCATGAAGAGATTCGAGCCATCATGTGCACACATAAGAATGTATCTTTCTTCAACCTCAATTTCATATTGCTTGCATGCAATGTGACACACGGGTCAACATCTTATATCATTCAAAAAGACGTCAGTCGCATCATCTTCTCCTCGTTTTTTTTGTTCACCCTTTTTCCGCTCACATTTTGAATGTTGAACTCTTTCAAAAACGTCACAAATAATTACAAAATAAATTATCATAAATTTCCACTCGTCGACTGTAGAATGGCAACCCACGAAATTGACTCAAAGCAACGGCGACATCAAGCCAAATAATGTTTTAATTCGATTATAATAATGTACCGAAATGAACGTTATTAACATTTTTAATCCACTGTAAAGCAGTAAATTCGCCGAAAAAAGTGAATAATATTCACTGAACATAAAGGCGAGTGATTTTAAGCGCATATTTTGTTATCGTTTTCAGTGATTCCGCCGAATTTTCGGTTCCATGCACTTAGTTTAACATGTGTTGCGTGCTCAGTTTCAACGAAAATCGCATTTAATGCATATCACATGAGGCTCAGCGACGCCGTGCAATCAATTTGGAAAGAAAAAAAGTGATCATTTGCGGTTACATTAAACAGCCGAATTCCAAAATGTGTTTGAAATTACCCAGAAAAAATGAATGTTGACAAAAACCAGCGTTACTCGCACTTTGTAATAATCCTTTATATGGGTTTAACCGTGGATAATTTAATGACATCATACGAAGTACAGTTGATTTCATATGAGTTTTTGATTCCTCTCCCTCCGAAACACAGAGAGATAAAAAAAATACCAAAATGAAAATCCTCGAATCTCCAAATACACCAGATGTGCTGTGTGACAAAGCCGAAATTCTGAAGCTGCTTTCAACCTTTCTCATCGACAAAAATGCTCCATTGATAAATACAAGCATGCATTTTATATTGCATCACTGTTTGTGTTTGCGTTCAAAAACTTTTGATTAAGTCGTAAATGAATTGCATCTTCAAATGCGTTGTGCCGCATCAAAAAGTCACATAAAATTTTTTTTCGGTTCACATTGTCGTGTTTCTTACACGCTAAAACAATAACGATTATAAAGTACAGATAAATATATGGTTCAGTGTAATGTAAACATTTGTTCAAATGGTTGTGCGGCTTTCAAGTCGAAAGAGAAAGAATACAAAATTCTTTGGTGATTGCATTTTTATGACACTTTCGTTGGCATGCATTCATCTTGGTTGCATCGTAAAGTGTATATGTGTGTGAAAGCGGCTAAATTAAACCGACTTTAATAATTTAATAATCATAAAAACGCACCAGCCTTCAATTTACACCTGATTCCATTCAAAATATTTGCTCTTCTAATTGGGATACTAAAGAAAAAGAAGGCATCATTCGCGCAATGAAATGCGTTTGTGTGTGAATTTGAAAGTTTTCTTTCAGTGCAAGAACGGAATTTATTGTTTCGATCGACCGATTCCTTTCACACGATTGCAATTGTCGCACAAGTACTTTGCATGTGCCCTTGATTCCGATATTCGCCACTACAGCCGTTGATTATTGTCATTATGTTTTCGCGTAGCGCAGCGCCATGTGCACATCGAATCGGCTTTTGATTTTATGGCAATTCATGTACCGTCGATGGAAACACCTTTCTTGTAGTGATTTTGCCTGTGTGAACGCACAATCGTAATGAATTTTTTCGTTTATTTTTCGAGTGACTGAGCTTGTTAACGAACGGTGAAGTGTCTTTCAATGGAATCGTGCTATGACCAGTTTTGCATGCAATTTGTCCATATGATCATGCTAATGAACGTGATGAAATTTATAGTTGATTTTTTTGCTGTTTTGTTCCGTTGTTGATGCGTGTGCACGCATTGAATTGTGATCGATTCACATCGAAACCAGATGAATTTATCAACCGTCACCATTGATGAAGTCACTGAAATTCATTTAAAAAAAGGAACAAATTAAACGATTAATACTCTTTTCCATGTGATTAAAATTGAAAGGTCTTTCTGATAGTGACCACTGAAGCAAACGACAGAAGAAAAAAAATCGTACGCTGCAAAAGAAGGCTAAACAACGCAAGTGCAACGCACAGCCATTCATTTTGGGTCAAATTTAAAATGCATCAGCCTGTTTGGTTGTTTTTCCTCCGCTGCGATCGCTTCGCATTTTTAACAAAAATTTTAGAAGCCCAATTTTTAATGTTGCTCTTTTTTTTCTTTCTCGTATTTATTTATTTCCCTTCGTTCGCATGTTTTGTGAATCAATTTTCGTACGTTTGTTTAATGAACAAACGAAGGAGAGACACACAGAAATGGAGAAAGAGAACGAAAACAAAAACGGATCGAATGTGCCCATGATCGAATTGTGTATACAAAGGCAACAACGAAAAGACAAGATTCACAGTCGGTCGATTTGACATCTTGGTAAAATACGCTTATTTGGATGGAATGAGACTCCTTCAGTGGCTTTCTACATACACTCAATCATTGAATAAAAATGTTGTTCGATGCAAAGCCCAACACAGAATTCCACATCGATATTGTTTGCATTGTTCTTGTCGTTGCTGCTGCTGCCGTTGTTGCTCTGTCGTTATTGGTTTTGTTTTATGATATATTTTTTTTCGCTCCATCCTCGAATGAATCAAGATCGGATGGCCGATCGTGAAGAGCTGCTATGGCTGTGTATACGATTATTTATGTGCACAATTTTTGGTGCGCTTTATTAATGACGTGACATTCAATATCTGTGAGACGTGAGCGCAAAACCAATTTCGATCCGGATTATTCCTTGCGGTTTGCCTTTTCCATGCACAAATATTTATTGTTCTCTCTAGCTGTTTCGTTGTTGTTGTTGTCGTTCAATTCCTCCTTTTTAATGGCTTTTATGGAACAATTCCGCATTTCCAGTGTCGTAATCGCTTAGACGTTCAGCACACAGCTCGATTATGAAATATTTATTGATGAGTTTATTTTCAATTTGCCAATTCCGTTTCGATTTTCTCTCTTCTTACCAATCGATGACCGTTCAATAAATTTTAAAATGTTTCAACAAAAACACTTATTGACATATTTTATTGTTTTTGCGAACATAAAATGTTTTGTTCTAATGACATCAAACAGAAGCGACAATCAATTCTTTGATTACTTTGTGCATTCAATGGAGAAAAAAAATATACTTTAAGCAGAACGAAAAATTCATTCTGCTGAACAAACACTTTTCAAGCTTAAAAAATCGATTCCCAATTAAATTCACATAAATATCAAGCCCAAATGACATTTTATTCTAATGCTATTCTTCTTTCTCTCTATTTCTAGCTGTACAACCCGATATGTTGGAGAATTTTGTGAACATTTGAATCCATGCCATACCAGCTCGGGACCAAGATGTCAAAATGGTGGTGTTTGTGAAGTTGACTACACAACTCCAGTGCCTGGATTCAAATGCCGGTGCCCAATTGGCTTCACAGCTTCACTGTGCGAAATCTCTGAACGCAATGCATGCGACTCGGGACCATGCCAAAACGGAGGATCATGTCATTTGAAATCACTTCAGGATTATGTTTGCTCATGTGCTCAAGGATATACAGGTGAGTCAATATATATGCATCTTGTGATGCTTCACTCTTTTTATAATTTTACAAGCAAAATTCACTTGAATAATCGATATTTGATGCTCATAATTTCAACTAACCTAACCAAAATTCCGATTCATTTCCAGGCAAATATTGCGAAAAGCAGAATTTGTGTGCATCATCGCCGTGCAATAACGGTGGTATATGCATTTCATTGCCCGGTGGCGATTTCAAATGCAATTGCCCGAAAGGATTCAAAGGGAAGACGTGCTCCGAAGATGTCGAAGAATGTATGTCTATGCCGTGCCAGCACGGTGGAACTTGCCGCAACACACTTGGATCTTATCAGTAAGTAGCCCTTTCATTCTCCCAACAACCAAAAAAAGCACCGCGAAGAGTAAAAGCGTATATTTCATGAATGATCAATAATCGAGATTAACAAAAAGTGAAAAGGTTCCGTTACCGTTTTAATCGTTGTTGAACAAGCTTCACCCAACAAGCGAAAGTGCATTCAACTGCGATTGTTTTTATTGCTTGTTGTGTGCTTATGAGAATTCGTTGCTATTTTAAAACCATTGTTATTAACACTGCTGGCTGACGGATATCAACGGGATTGCATTTGAATGGTTCAACAGCGGTTCATTGCAGCCATCCACATTAATGTGTGTTGTACATGTGTTAATACAAGAACACAATTTGTAGTTGTTTCACATGTTGCGATATTGTCATGTTTGCGTGTATGTTGCCTTTTTTCCCTCTACTGTCTCTTTCTTTTCGTCCATTTAATGTCGTTCACAGTCTCTAGCATTTCACCATTTGGACTCTCGACGACTCGTCGGTTTTGTTTGCCACTTATAAAAAACCATTACAAAACTTTAGCTGGAAATCCAATTACAGTGAATCTTCGTTCATTTCATTACAAATTCTGCTTACCAATTTTATTCGTTCATCGTTTTTCATTAGCAATCTGAACATGGAATACATAGCAAATTATGCTCAAAAGCGAATGGATTTACCTTGTCATTCCAGCTTCGAAATGGTTGTGCTTTGTTCGTTCGCCTTTTGTCAACTTTTATGTCGTCGTCTTCAACAACAGCAACGCTGTCATGTGTTTTTTCTTCGCTCTCTCTCTCTCTCTCTCTCTCTCTCTCTCTCTCTCGGATTTTCTGTTTATTATCTGATTCTCTATCTACGTAAAACGTTACGATAATGCTCATAAACTAGTTCTATCATCGCCGATTTTTCGTGTCCGCATATGGCCACAAGACCGTCCTATTCAAACGAAATAGTTCACCTTTAATGGAGTAAAAGAGTTGTTGTGTATTCAACAGGGAATTTCAACCGATGTGAATTCTTTTATTCATATATTTGTTGACGATGAAATGGCCGATTTTGATGATAGATCATCATTTTTTTTTGATGGAACAAATCACATTTTTGACGAGAGCCACAGATCCCTTGGTACTGTATTTAGTTGGTAAACCCACCAACATCGCGTTTAATATGCGCGTTCATCAGCGTGTGTTTCGAAGCTAAACGTTAATGACACGAACCATTTCGAAGAAACTTTGGTTTGATCAAAGAAATGTGCTGATCGCTCCGTTTGATTGGACAGATTTTTGTGAAGAGTGTCGTCGTCGTCGTTGCCGAAACACGCGTTCGAAAGGACACAGAAAAAACTCGAGCACGTACAAAAAAAATTAAATTATACATACCATTTATGTTTTACGATCGCTTTGAGACGTGCTTTTCTTCGAGTCACAAACACATGAAGCAAATCTCACCAGCTAGAACAATAGTGTTCGCTCCACAAAATGTGATCGTGGAGCACAGCTTTTTTCTTCTGTTCGCTTTTGATTGGCCATCATTGAGCAGTTTTTTTTTCTGCGTTTTCATCAGCCACTTTGATATTTGTTCGGTCGAACAGAATCCATTTTAAAAGAGGTAGACAAATAACGTAGCTGTGTTTGTTAGGTAGAAATTATATGAAATTTTTTTCTCTCCATGGATTCGTTTTTGGATTGACTGTATATACATATTTTTTTTGTTTTCTTTTTATTATTATTATCATCGCCAACATCATCATCAACATTGATGTGTTCTTTTTTCCATTCTTCTGCGTTCATATCTCCCTTGATTATAACAATTTATGTGCTCTTCTTTGGCTGTTGCGTTATATGCTCTTTGTGTGCGCATGATGTGCTGTACAGTTCGTACCGTTTTTTTTCTTCACTCGTTTCGTTTCATCTTCTTCTATTCGGATGGTCAGAACCCTAAATGGGAACACACAACAACGCCAAAAAAGCAACGACAAATCTCGCGCAGTGAAAACGGTTGGCAATGAAGGATCATCGAGAATGAACTGCATGGCAAAATGGTACTTTTGTACCATCGCAATGAAGAAAGAAAGAAACAAACGAACAAGATGATCAAGCAAAACCCATAAATATTTCACATTGGCAACGAACGAGTGATGAAACACACACAAAAACTGTAAAAAGCACCGAAGAAATTTTTAAAAGTAAAACCGAGCGAAGCAAAAAAAAAAAGTTATCAGAGAAAAACGCAACAACAGCAACAAAAAAAACGGCTAGCGGTTGAGAATGCACAGTGCAATTATGGCATTACTCAACTACTGTGCTCTTTGCACTCACACACACACACGAACGCTTCGCGTGGCCGTTGCAAACCATCATCTAAATTAGATTTGTGTGTTCCAACCCGATGAAGAGGTTTGGATAGTTTGTGCGATGGCGCGCGTGTTTTTTCTTCTTCTTATCGATGGGTCAATGCAACCAACTCCACGCATATCATCGCTCACGTAATTACAATAATTTAGCAAAATCAATTTTTAGTATTGTTACACCGGTTTGGATCGTGGCTACTTGTTAAGCCCTGCAGACTTTTAGCGTTATTGCCGATTCTTATGTGAGTGTGCCGCACACCGAAAATTGCAACCGAACTCATTCAATCCACTCATTACTCGGTCGCGTTTCATCAGAATTTTTTTTAGATAAAATAGTTTTTTAATCGTTCACGTTTTTTCTTACCATCGCTCAAATTCGGTAGCATTTTCCAACGACGTCGTCGTCATCGACCGTGCTTTTTTCGAGTCTGCATTTTTTTTTCGGATGATGCGAAGAAGAAATCAGGCCAATATCACTTGGTAGTTTATTCTCCTCATAAGAATCATAATTTTTTTTCGTTCTCATTCATTGCTTATTACCCTTTTGGGCATTGTAAGCCTTTAATCATTTCCGTTTTCGTTCGTGGCTACTGATCTTCACGCACACAAATCATCAATTGAGACCGCTTCGCAGTCCCTTGGTTCATTATATTCCATTCTCTCGTTTTCAATTAACCATCCCAAATGGCACTCAGGTTCTTGATCTATCTATCTATCTCTGCATTCCAATTCGAGAGCCATTGCACTTCATGTTGTTATTTTTTGTTGTGATTATTACTTAAATGGAAAATGGAATCCTGTATCGAATTCTGTCTTTGGTGTCAATGAGAAAAAAAACTAAGAACGAATCCAATGCAAACCGGCAATCAACTAATGTGAACCATGATTCATCATTTCTAGTTGTGCATATTCGTGCACCCTTTTCCGATTCAAAGGCATAGCGTAAAGCCATTAAACCTTCTACATCATGAATGAAGGTGATTTTCTCCCATTCGGTCGGGTCGGATTGTATGGTTTGATGTGACGGTGATTAGCGTTTTGCGCAAGCAGGAAACGACAGCACTGCAAAATCTAGATTCATCTCAATCAATGCTCTCCACTCTGACACGCCAATCTGTCGTTCTTTGCCATTTCAAATTCAACTTATCGCCGATGAAATATTTTGATTACGAAATTACCGTAAAAATGTTGAAAATTCTGAACGCTCGATTAAAAAAAAAAAGACAATTTTTCGCTCGATAAAAACCTCTTCTTCTACCCTGTCAATGTGCCACGAAGCGTCGGACCACGGTGAAAAAAGATTTATGCAGAAGATAGTCTTGTCAGTTAATTGACTTCTAATAGATTAAAATTTGACGTATGTAGCGAAATAGCAGCGACGGCACGATGTTGCGCTAAATAAAGTGATTCAATGAATGAAGCGGGGAAAAAACCATTTGAATGGTAACTCATTGCAATGGGTACGGACGAATTGGTCAAGTGTAGTTTTCAACAGCAATTCCAATTGACAAATGCGCCAAAGCATGCCGCATTCAATCTAGTTCAAATATTCATTTGACTTTGTGTCCTACATAATTTGGTGATTGAATTGATTAAATTGCAACAATGTTTCAGTCTCAAACAGTTGCAGGCTGCAGCTAATCAAAATGTGAATTTTTTTCGTTGCAATTTTGTCGTGTGAGTTGGGAGCCTAGAGTTACAGAATATTGCTTATTTCTATTTTCCATGTTATTTGCTCCAATTACAGCATCAAATGCACAATAAAAAGCAAATGTTGTGAATGGTCTTGTTTGCGCGAAAATATACTACGGCAAATGATTGCCGCAACAATTGCAGCAGTGTGCTAGAGTGACGTTTATATAGCGTGGGATCAATTAATTAATTAATTTTATTTGTAATTTTACGATCTCAATTGCATTGTATTCTAGAAGCCACGCGAGTGTAGCAAAGAAGAAAAAAAACTGCACTGCACCGTGGCGGCAATTGTGCAGATATTGTTGCACATGCACTGCTAACACATTTGTGTTCGCATTCACTTTTCACATACTGATCACAACAGAGCCGTAATGATAATCATTTTCATGTTGATTTACATTTTTAATCCTCATTTTCGTTTGTAACACACCATTCCGGAGTGTTGCAACATCATTGCCGCGCGCGGTATGAACCGCAAGCACAAAGATCACTTTGGCTGATATGAATGCACGGCCGACTTTGAGCAATATTGATTTGTTTTTACTTCTCTTGTTGTCGGTTGGCCGTTGGCACGCCCAACTCCATTTCGATGTTCGTGTTAAAAGCGAATAATTGTATTTTATTCGCATCATCAGCACATCGAAGCGTTTCAATTAAGATTAAAGTGCACTTTGATTCTGCATCGGCCACTAATTGATTTCCATTTTTATGCTACAATGGATTCTGAGCTCGAAATCATTTGACAGGTGCCATTCAAATGTGGCTGCAAATATCAAATAATATCGCGTCATCGCCGCTCGAATCATTATTTTTTACACCGTTTGTCGGCGAGTGTATTGAAAATGGTTCAGCAGCTCGTGCCAGGCTGTAGCTTTAATTACTCATTTTGGGAATTCAAAACCACTCAATGGTTCACCCATTCAATTCGCATTAAAAGTGTTTAATTAGGAGGGGAAAAAAGAAGAGAGAAAAACATTGAGCAAAAAAGAATGCGCCATTTATAATGTTTTGACAACAATGACAATTTGATCGCCATTGAATGTCACAACAGAGCGATCCCATTGCGGCGCGCAAGCAGCAGCAACAGCAGCAACAATAAGAAAAAAAAGAACGATATCCATGCACACGATTTGCGCGCTTGGTTATCGATTTGAAATGTCGATTATAGCCATTAGATGCAGTGCGCGCGGTAACATGCACGGAGCATAAGACCAGTAGCTGCCGTTAAATCGCTCTGGTTGTTATTGTCGTCGACGTCCTTTAAATATATAGGTTTTAGATTTTTAATGATGATTCGCTACCAAAATGCTATTTAAAATTGGAATCTTTCATACGATACAGAGAGAAAAAAAAGAACGAAAAAGAAAGTTACGTCACGACTTTTTCTCCTCTCTCTCTCTCTC